ACTCTATTTATCCGAAACCTAATACAGAACACGAACAATTTAAAACAATTACATACATAGGAGAACGCAGTGAAAAAGTTTCAAAACATTTGTCTAAATGTGCTTTAAAAATAGCTTTCAGAACTAACAACACAACAGGAGAATTTTTAAAAAACAATAAAAGGAAATGTCCAAAATCTCAAAAATCAGGTCTCTACAGGTTCAAATACGGATCTTGTCCTAAAATTTATATTGGACAAACAGGTAGATCCTTCAAGAAACGCATTAACGAACATAAAAGAGCGTTTAAAAACAATAGTTTAGATTCTAATTATGCCACACATTTAAACACAGGAAAACACATTTTTGACGACAATTTTGATATTTTACATACAGCAACAAAGAGTAGAAAATTAAATTTATTTGGAGCCATGGAGATTAACAAAATGAGACATTCAAATGTATTGCTTAACGATTAATTAGTTTCAAATAGCTCTCCATTATTAAACTTAAATTCTCACGACATTAATTACGGTTTTATTGGCATTTTTCGGTATATATAGTAGCAGGTAGTTTGTAAATATTACATTTGATAAAGACACGGTGTTGTCGAAACAATTGTCGTACAATACAATACAATATTTATTTGGTTCCGTTAAATTACCGAAATGATAGGATTATTTTTTTCTTCGTGTATAGAACACGCAACGTGATTATTTTTACTTATAATTTAAAAGTTTCTAAAATCTTTTCCCAAATGTTTAGTCCATTTTTCGCTCTTGTTAACTTTTTTTATTATTGAAGCCACAACCTTGGTTAAAAGTTATAGTTTTCCCGCTGATTAAGTGACATCGCGTTTGAACCACAAATCGATTAGAGTGTCTTTTTTCGACTTAGAGGAGACGTCGGGTAAAACTACCGTAAAAGTTAAGGATATAGTAAAATCGGATTCATAATTTCAGATATAGTCTTTTTTATAATTGTTTCATTTATGACCTCCAGTTAGTGTGAAGATTATATCATAATGGAAATAGAGCATATTGTTGTTGGAGAATAACAAGTTTCGCTTGTAACTGATATTACACAAGAGCAAATAAGCGTTCCATGGCCATTTTTCCTTTGCTCGAAAATGCGACGCGTTTGCTGCAGTGCGATCGATCAAATTCTCATTCGCCTTTTTAAATCTTATTCTTCTTCTAGTGTTGGTATTCCGTTACGGTACGTGATCCAGGACTAATCAATAAAAAACCAATACCAAACGCCGTCCATTAGTTTAATAAGCGAATGTTCTCTGTTTTCTATCCGTCATATTTAATTTAATTAACCAACTAGTCTACATTTAGTCGTCTGGTGACATGGAAATGACCAGCCTTTAAATAAATACCAATTAAAAACGTTGACATTGTTTACTTGGTATACATGTTCTCACGCACCGACGACGCAGCGGCGCACGTCCGACTTCAAAATTCCCTCCATTAACGCAATACTTACGTGGTACACCACTGCACGTTAACAACCGCTTCCTTCATTACAATGAGGTCAATAAGTTTTATCTTGTCTATGCATGCGTCCGACGTTACGTATCTCGTCTGGTTTCGCGTGTATTTCCTCGGAAATTGATAATAATGACAAATAACATATGGCCGAGCGATTACTTCGTGTACCTTTGGAGGTCTTTTGTTTGTTGTGAGAGAAACATAAATTCACATAGATGTTTTTTATCGTCCGGTTGAATATATATTTTTTTCTATATAAATTTCTGAGGAATATGAATGATTTTTGAACTGTTTTGGAGATTTGGTCCTTAAATCTAAGGTTAGCATCAAACAATCCGAGGTTCTTATATTCCAAGGGTTAGAAGCATTGCGCAATGTAAATTGAATATTTTACCTAGGAGACACTAGTCCATAATCATACCAGCGGATTTAAATGGTTTAATTTTTAGACCGTTTTTAAAATAATAATAATAATAATATACTCGGGATATTCGTTTACTTTCTCTGAAAAGCTTTTGAGTAATTGTGTGTCGTCAGCAAAGCTACAATTGGGTGCAATAGTGGCATATCGACAAAATAACAGTTCCAATAAAATCAGTGGTTTAGGAAAATAAAAACTGAAATATTGAGATAACTCTTAGCAACTCTCCTACTTATTACAAAATTTATAGTCTCTATAATTATATATTGATTTGTGTTATTCTCTTTTTAAAACAAAAAATATTTTTTGAGGTTCTTTTTTTATATGTTTCTAACTTTTGTACCGTTATTGATTTTTTTTGTACACATCAGTTCCACAAATAAAGTGCAATATTTTGATAAAAACGTTGTCAATAAAATAATAGATCAAAGTTTTAACATCATTTTATTATAAAAATACGTATAAAAATATAATACCGCATGTTCATTTGCAAGATAGGTACATAGTAATAACTTACACTAGTAAAACACTAAAAAATGTGCCCTCATAAAATAAAATAAAAGGAGCAACTATCAGATTAGTAGTCTTTGGATAATAAAAAAGAACGGACCTATAGCTTTTGGTAGAGAGCTATTGTTAAAATTACAAGAAACAAGAATTATAATGGCACGTAAACAAAAGTTAAGCTGTGTTGTGCTTAACAACACCACCTGAACTGTCCCAATGAAAGTTAATAGAAGTTACTAGTTTTTTAAAATCAAAAAATCATCGTAACTCATCTCTACGACTTTATAAGGAGTTCTCGTCTTCTTCGCATTTTTTACCAACATTACGTACTCTGTGGCGATCTCGGACACACTGCGCTATGTGCCGGTTTTGCGCGTAAAATCGTTAAAAAACGCGGGAAATGGCACTAACTAGCGGAACTGAACTAAGATAACTCTGTGCCGATATTGTTTGTTGTTAAAATACAAATGTGCGAGTCTTATGGTACAATTAGCTAAAAATAGCTATTTTTTGATATGTGCCATTATTGCATCCAGTGAGCGATATGTAGCGGACGATGATGGAAGAACATTAAAGGCTTCATTAAAAACGTCTTATTAGAGAAATTCCAATTCAGCAGGATATTTGTGCTTCAGAAAAAGCCTGTAAGAATTTCAGCAGGATTGAGATGTGGAGACGATAACAACATTTATAATTATAATGCCATGCATAGCACGCCCATTCCCAGTTTTTACTTTTTATTAATTTATTTTTTCCAGAAATTTTTCCATAGCAAGGGTACTGCAATTTAAGTACAATAGAATAATTTATATATTATATATAGTTTAATACAGAGTTAAACAAAATGAAGGTAGGAACTGCGGTTTTAATAAAAATAACAAAAAAACAAAAATCACACATCTCACACACAATCACAATTCTATTTTGTAATAAAGGAAAACAGGGAAAAATCTGAGATTAACAAGACTTTAGCATTTTTAGGTGTTAAATTAAGTAGAGGCGATTTAAAGATTGTACCGACTGTAAAATTGCAAGAAGGCATATGAAGCACTTACGGCCAAAAGTTTAGAGATAATGTCTATTAAAAACGGAAAAATTTACTTGAGAATTTTAAATTTTAATTTTAAAATGATTATCGGTGTGGGTTAAGTAAAAACAAACAATACAAAGATGGTGCTTCTTGTGCTCAGTCAATGTACATATGGTTACAACATTTAAAGTATTCTTCCGTTGAGGTTGTGCGATAGTAAGTAAAAATTCACGTATGTTGAAATTTTCGCAATGACAATATCCAATTCGAATAGTTTTATAGTTCCATTTTGTAAATTTTAATGAGAAAATATCGGACTATTTTGAGGACACTAAAAGATAAATTAGAGACAGAGGCGGTTAAAAAGTGAAAAAACTCTTTTAAAAATTGGATTAGATTTCTGTCACCTCTCTAAAAATTGAAAAGGAAGTGGAGAGAATGCCTAGATAAGTTTATTTAGACACTATGTCAACAGGACAGGATTGTTCAGTTTGGAAGGAAAATGAAAAAATGATCCAAAAAAGTTAGATTTCGCTAGACATTAATTTTCGAGGTAGTTGTTCAGAATAGGCGTCAAATAAATGAAAGTGATGTTACAGTAGATAGGCCAATGTTAATCGGTTTAGGAATTTTTTCTATATCTTTAATGAATAATTGGAAGAGCAATGGGCCCCCCATCTAGGACGTCTGACGGTAAAAGGGCACTTTCTTAGTGGTGCGTTCAGTACGATTGCACCAAACTTCACGCTTCCTGCACCCAATATACTTTTCTCGCGCTTTTACATGCATTTTTGGTCGTTTAAAATCTCGCTTATAAATAGTATTCGACAGTTCAAACATTCGTTCAAAGTAATTCCATGTTGTAATTAAATAATTCCGCATTCAACGTACATATTAAATGCCGATTGTACACCGGGCGTTTTACAAGACACGCACACATATATGATCCGATATTCCAATTTTAAACAGCAACGAGTGTTGAATAATTGAAACAACTTTCGCGATATATGTGTCATAATTTTTAAATTAGCCATTATGCTATGTGTGTTAAACTTGTCTCTAATTAAAATGGCAAGGGCAAGATTTTGCATATGAAAGACAACGCTTTTCTCAACAAAAAAATTCAGAATTGGAAATCAAGTGGCTAGAATCGATCACACTTTACTCAGCCTAATATCTTCCGCCATAATCTAAAAAACAAATTAACTGCCATAGTAAACGGAATATTTATTATGATAAAAATGGCGAATCGAGCTAGTTTTTGTACACGGAGGCCCAATCAGAACTCAATTTAATCACGCCTATCTTGATTGTAGTGAGTTATAAATCCATCAACGGCGATAATTTATGGGTCATAAGCTTGAATTAATAGTAATTGCGATTTTCAATATTACACTTTTAATATGCAATTAGTTTTCGATTAAAGGCTTACTATTATCAAATATATAATAATTAAACGATGTAAAAGGTAAACAGCAGCGTAAGAACAAAGATTGCTTCTATTTAACAACAGAGAATTGCTTCAATTTTTAGTTTAGAAACTAATTTATTTAATTTTTTTTTTCAGAACCGGAGAGAAGAAAATCGCATTGGTGCAAGGTAAGAGTTGGCGACTAAACCCAGTTTATGTCACATTAACACGTCAAATTTAATACTCTTTTTTTGCGAATATAGTTTAGTTTTTTAGTGTATTGGTATTATTGTATTCGTCTAACTCAAAGTAAATCTGATACAATGTTTTTGCACAACGAGTTATATAAGATGATCATCACACATCAACATCTTCCTGTTTGGTGGTTTGTGGTAATCCTTTCGAGCATACTGATGAATTCTACAGGATCCCACACATACGCAATAAATAACTAATAAAGTCTTGAATTCATAATATATGTTTTACCAATTTCTTGTATGGTTTTATTAATTTAATTATTTATAAATAATTTAACACAAAGAAAAATTTTAGGTTAGATAGCGACATTTCATTGCTGACAATATGGAAAATTTGAGAGTAAATCATCACTTGCCCGACATTGTTGATAGGCATAATATTTTAGCCAGTTAATTTATAAAGTGTCCCCAAATGACCGAAAAAAGTCTAATAAAAATATGTCATCCGGTGATATTCGTCTATCAACGTCTCCTATTTTGAAAATATAATAACTGTGGTATTTTAATTGGGCTATTTTTAAACCTGACACAGTCGATTTATGCGAAACACTATCGTTAGCACATTATATTTTCGCCAAATTTCTCTCGAGAATATGTAAATGCTTCTTTAACAACAACATTTTTAACAGCATGCATCTCAACGGTTTTGGAACTTGAAAACCATAAGGGGTGCGTTAACATATTCCATTGTGTTCAGAACACCTCTTAAAACTAATTTCCAAAATGCATTCTTGCCAATCTTGACAAGGACCTCTCCTTTTAAATCGTGTTTTTATTTTGCTGCGAGAAAAATGTACTCGCTTTGTTCATTTCGAATAGCATTTACATCATCATATTGAGCCGGAAAGGCTCTGTCAACAACAAAATAAAAATACAGGGTGATACTTGTGAAAACAACATTATAAAAATAATTCAAAAACAAAAAAGATCAACGGAGTAGTCTCATATGCCATTATGATTGATGATGATGTTCGGGACATACATAATCAGCAGATATCAGTAGTGGATCTGTGCACAGTAAATTATAACTTATACTAGAAATAAATTCAAGAATTACAACTAAATATTACTATTAAATTAATAACTATCGGGAAGCAAAAAAAACTTTTTAAATAATTATCAACCTAACAAAATTTTCATAAATTCGGGAATATAGTCTGGATATGTTAAAATACATCTAATAAAGATTGATAAAAAAAAAACAATCATCTAAACAACTTTTGCTTTAACAACAAATTCAAAAAAATCTATGCAATCCTGAAAAGTGATGTTTTGTCACTCTTCAGTTTTAATAATATGAACTCTTTTAAATGAAAAAGGTCCATCTTCTATCCAATTAAGAGGTGCATAGCAAGTATACTAATTATTTACTTTAGCCAAGTAAAAAAGGTGTCTAAGTTTCTTCAGAATCAGAAAGAAGTTTTTTGAACGACTGTCTACCACCAAGTTTCCCCTACATACCTCCAAATTTCCTTGAAGGATCTAATATTACCACTATAATTTCACTAGATACCAGTAAAGCTACTATGTATTATAAATTACCACAACAAATACCCCTCCATTTTCAACTATATGGTTTTCTTTTTTTCAGCATTTTTTCTTCTTGTTCTACGGGATTGGCTTTATTCCACGGTAATGTGCCAGAAATGCGGAAAGGGAGGGTTCCTACCTCTTTGTAAAAATAAATAATCATTTATTAGTAACTTCATTAAGAGAGCTCGAACGGAAGATAGATGTGCACTGTCATGTGTGGGGAATGCATGACGGTCAATATGAATCTGAAGCGAAAATTCTTCTTTTAAAATTTGGTTTTATTTCGCGTCTAATAATTTTGGGATTTCGGAGAGAACCAAACTGATACCGAATGGTGACTTAATTCCTATTTTAATTAACTCTGTGCCTATGTCAAAATTATCTATTTCGGACATTCAAAAGACAAGATGAATTCAAAACTTCGGCACTCACGAAAAGGGCTTTGTCGGCACGTTAATAATTAGTCTACCGCGATTTCTTTTTCTGTTGCCATGTGTTCTCTAATCTCAGTTCTTACTTAAGCTATTTTCTATGATCTCAGTTATTCCGTTTCGTTTTAACAAGCAAACAAGTACGAGAAGACGGCATAATTATTTTTAATGATAATCCGCAACACACGTACTTTTAGACTGTATGCGAACCTGTTATACAAAAGTTGCATAACGCACTATTTATAGACACGAAAATAAATGCTGTGGTTTATCGAAAATTATGAAAATTAACTCCGCACCGTCGGATAGATTAATGGCGGCTCAGGTGAGAAATATTTTGAAATATCGCGATTATACGGTAATGTGGCGTATACGTCTAATAGGATTAGATATTTATCCAATTAAATGAGTTTTCATCAATTACGCGTTACCGACTAGCGACCAAATAAGTTAAATATATTCCAAGTTACATTCCAAACATTAAGTTGGCACGATATAGATCACCCCATCAAAGTTGTTGTGGAGATAGATCATCAGGGGTTGGAATGTTGCACTTCAGGACTTGGATCGTGAAAAGTCTACCAGAATAACAGTTTACAAAAGTTTTCTCAACTGTGAACTAATATGTTTCTAGCTTATTGGGAGAGCATTAATTTGGTGGGTGATTTCCCGTTAAATGTAAGTCTATCTGTGAACTTTGTAGTATAGCCCTCTTTAGCCTTATAATCAGACAGATTCTTACTCTTAAATTTTAAACACTATTAAATCACTTTTAAAAATTTTAAATATAGATCTACAACACTTATTGCACGCTTCACCTATTTTGTGGAAGTCGCCGCATTGCACCCATTGGTGATTACCTCTTTACGAACCTCCTTTCTTCCATTCTGCTTATATTTATTTCCCTGTCTAGCACCCAGTATAATTTTTTTCCGCATACAACTATTTCTTATGGTATTACTTCTTTCCCTATAGAGTGACGTTTTCTCGACTATTCAGTATTCGTTGTTTGCAGTCTAGATACTTTTTTTTGTGTTGCAAAATTATTTTGTATTAAGTTGTCTCTTCCCGAATATATGATCATGGCATATCTAAAGACATATTTGAAGTTTGTGTAGGTTTCTAAATGCTTGCTGATTCGTGTGCCAAATAAAACTATCCAAATAAAACTATCCATTATACGATCTGGAAGCAATAGGAGATACGAAAAAAGTTTCGTGCAAAATTTTCTAGAATTCTTCTAAAGATTTAAGATATTATAATTTATAATTATAGTGTATTGCAACGAAAATTTAACCACAGACTAAGAAGATGATGCTCTACTCAATCAGTTTGACAGATGCTCCTCAGCTTATACAGGGTGTCTCCAATAGGTGGTGCCGTTTTGGCGAATTTAATGAACAAAATCTCAATAGATTTTCAAATGTAACTCCGTATATTTTTATTCAAATTCAATTTTAGGACAATAAATAAGTTTCTAATTTATTTTTATTTAAATTTTACTTATCTTTTGAGATATTCGATATTTAAGATAACGCCCGTATAAATTCTTGTTGAATTTTAAGCTGCCCACATTAGGTCACTTTTTGGCAATATTAGGCATTTTTTAAATGGCAAAGACATGATACTACTTCTTTTAAAGATATAATACTCAAGATACGCTAATAAAACCTATTGCTAACAATACAGGGTGTCAATTAATACGTAGAAATTAAAAAAAAAAAACGAGTGTATACTACACACTATTACAGATTTGATAAAACTTCAAAACTCATATTTAAAGAAACATAAAGTAGTTAATTATCTAGCTTGATTGAAAATACCTAATAACAAAAATAAATAATTAAAGTTTATAGGCTAACTAACAAGGTAACAAATTTGAGTAAATAAATCTATAAAACAAAAAGTTAACTTAAAAGGGTTCAACAATTCCATAAAGTTTAGATAAAAATGTTCCTCTCAAAATGTTCGTTTTATCTGGCATCAAAACAACAAAGAAATATCAAAATATTTAAAAATGTAGTTGGCTGTGACATCACAAGCCTTTTTTTTGACGCATTGGGGTAAAAAACAAACTTTGACATTTCAGTTGTTTGAAATAGAAATATTTGAATATCTTGAGATTTTGTTAATCGAATTCGCCAAAATCGCACCACCTATTTGGGACACCCTGTATAACCTGATTGAGTAGTGCATCATCTCCTTAGTTATAACACAATTTTATATGTGGCAATCAAAATATGAAAAAAAAACACATAACCCCATTTTCTGCCTAAACTATGCAAACTTTGAATAGGAATTTCTTAAGAAAGTGATCTTTATTTTAACCAAGGAATCCAAAAATGTCGAAATATATAGGATGTTTCGTTCAAGGTAACAAATTTGATGTCGTGAGGGATACTGTTGGAACACCCTGTATCAACAAAATTATAATATTTTAATCTTCAGGAGAGTCCAAGAAACCTTTCCACCAGTCCGTTTAGTGGATCGTTTTATTTGGCACAAGGACTACCTGGCAGTAATGCGAATAGAGTTGTTTTTTGTGAAGTTGTTTATATTGTATGACCAATCAAGGCATTCGTTAATATGAGTTCGTCTATGATTTCAATTTGTCTTGAAACTCCATGTGTAATGGTGTGATTTCGATCAATTGCTTTGTCCTAAAAACAAGTATCTGGATCTTATTTTTATTGATAATTGATTTATTTGGTAACGCTTTACTTAAAATAATTAATTTGGTATCATCTGTATGTTTAACAATGTGTTTGTTCTCATCATTAAAGAAACAGGTTTAAATCGGTAACAAACAATATAAAAATGGTTGACGTCAATTTGCTCGCTTGCGCAATAGGTACATTCATGTGTTATCTATTGTTACTGTTACAACCTGCTTCCTAATCCTCAAATGCGATATTAACCTTTTTTGCATTGTTCCTTGTACCATGCTACTTCAATTGTTGTATAATA